TCGCCGATCAAAGATCGTGGCCATGGGTAACGACAACGTTATGTTTGCTACGTTCGCTACAGTGAACACTTTGTCACCCAAACAGCCTAGCATAATGGCTGGAGGACTCCCCTCATTAAGCGATTCGATGTATGTTCTCATTCGATTCTCCCACAAATCGTAATCTTCATAGGCGGTATATTTATGTGGCCGCACGGTCTGCGAAACTGGCGTCACAACCTTCTCCATCGCTTGGACTAGCCGCGCTAGTAACTCGTTAGTATTTATCCTCACCGTTGCCACCAATTTTTTTAGCGAACCGAGGTAGTCAATGGGCAAATATGATCGACTGTAACCCGAGAGAGAGCGAAACGAACGTGGTTACCAGATGAATCCCAACAAATATAACCCAAGAAAGAACAAGACTTGTTAGACTACGAATCTAAATAGTCATGTTTAGTTCAAATATAGGACTAATTAACAAAGTCCTGGATTAGAATAATAGTTTATGGACCTTTGGCAGGGACTTTGGCTGTCCATCGGTCCGGGCAGCAGGAGAGGGCTTCAAGGGGGGATCTGCATATGCTCTCCCGTCCGGTTCGTCCATTCTTGGAAACGTACGGTATTTGTAGGATTAAAAGGCCAATAGATGCGAGCCAATCATACAATTATAGATACAGCCAACAGCACAAGCTTGCAAAAACCTATTGCTTGCCGATAGGATTAGCTTAACTGACCAGGTGTAACGTGCCAATGATGCCGAAGTTGGCACACCTAAAGAAGAAGGAACCCGAAGATGTTTCTGTCAGCGGAAAATGTGAACTGGATCGATAAGCATCACCCAAGCAGACAAGTGTCAAGGTCGGAGTAAAAGAGAACGAGAATATATGGTTACAACTTTACTAGCAATTAACGAAGACGTGCAGACTAAGAAAATAACATGGTATAGACAATGGCGTTACATAGATACAAGTCACACCTGGAGTGGAGGGCGTTCTCTTATGTCTGATCAGTTGACGTTGGGGAATACAGTGCTGTGGGCGACCGCAGGGGCGGGACGGGAGTGCTGACAAAGAATGAGGGACAACGATACGAGCGACGACTACGACGGCGGGAAGGGGGTCGGCGGCTGCGAGGGAAAAGGGCACCGGTTCCTTCATTGACACTTGATCACATCATCTCCATACTGGCTCCGCGCCAAGAGTCACGACCTTGGTGTACTTAAACAATCATTCAGTTTCTTGGGTCGCTATGTAACGAGCCAACCCAACCAACTGAATCTCATTTTTGTTTTAACTAATCCAGGTCATTTTTTCAACTTTCAGAGTCACCGCTGAGTCACGTTTCGGGATAGGTAACCGATCTTCCCTCGCTTCACGTGTCGTATCTCCGTCGCTCTCGTACCGTCCCCATACGTTCCCTTATCGCTAATACCACTTCCCGGTTGACGTTTTGTATTTCTAGAGAACTCTGTTTGTTACTTTTTTTACTGTAACATTACCAGTTGTCCCATCAATCACTTTTTCAACTAGAGTTCCATTATACCAGTTTTTCGCAACGTAACGTACTGTTATTATATCGTTCTATTAAATCAATATCTACCTCCGGACATTACCTTTCTTATCTACTACGTTTTTGTCACGATGCCTGAGAACGTTGGGGTTATGTCTGCTGCTCGTTCTGAGGTCAACCGCATTTTAGAGGAGGTATCTGCATTGTTCACTGGGAATCACCAACCGCCTATACTATCAAGTCACGCACCGGTCCCACCAAGGCCACGCACAGATCAGAACATTACAGCTACACAGGGCTTTTAGCTGAACCAAATTCGTGTCTCGGCCACTAGGGCCTTGAAGCCCGCGTTTATTAATGGCCAGACAGAATTTAAGAAAGTAATTTATTTAAACGAATAAATGTGTCTTGGTGAATATACCCGAACTAAGTTAATAAATGTTGTTTAATGCAAAAATTAGGCCATCTTAAGCCTATCTGCTACAGTACACAGCTCGGGATGGAGAGCCTACTTGGGTACATTTTTCCATGCTTTTAGCGAAATGTTAGCTGGGGCGTTCGTTGGTCGCCGCGCATTGCCGAGGTTTTTCTTATTAAGAAAAATATCCACACCAGCATACCGCATATTTGATCGGAAAGCTAAAAAACTGCAACGTGTTCGTGCAGCTCGTCGGGAGAACGCAACCGTTTATGATTACTTAAGAGATGAGGTATCATTTCGCCTTGCGGACCGTGTGTTGGATATCAAGAGGTAAATCTCATCTTGTCAAATATAGTCGGTACTGTTTTTCCTGTGAAAGCTGTGCATTCTCGCATCAATTCTCCTTGGGCCTTTTGTCTTAAATATATTGAAATTGAAATTGAATGGTCCCA